GGGCCAGGCAGCGTTTTGTTCTTTTGTGCATATGGTTACTAAGTCGGAACCCACTCAGTAGCACCTAATAAAACAAATGACTTGTAAAGCTGCTAGTTGAGTAGGGCCTAGAACAAGAGAAGGGTCTGCAACAGGTTCCAGCCACCTGCACTGCAAGCTGCTCTGCCACTTGGGCCATATTGTCTTGCTGATCCAATAATGCTTACAGTGTCTGTGGCAGGGAGTGGTGAAGTTTGGAGTCTTTGGCAGACTCATAATGGTGAAATCACAGGTGGACCCTAGGGATGGCTCAAATTAGACATAAAGGCACAAGTAAGCTGAATTAGGAAAAGACCCAAATTTCCATTGTCTCCATTCCTGTCATATGCCTTTCTTCTCCTAGTCTGCACCTAAGGCCTCATCAGGATTTTCTTATGATAAGTTGACACAATAAACTTTAATTTCAACATATGCTTCTCTACAAAGGAAAAGCCTCACATGTTTTTCCTCTTACGTATAAAGAAGGAACTTTTACCTTTAGAGGATTTGGAAGAAACATCTGGGGTGGGTGGGAAGCCTGCTCTATTGTACTTCAAGTTTCAGGCACTTTTTGTCTGTATTAAAATCAGCTACCTATCTCATTACTGAACAATTTAGTGTTTTCCAATGCAGCTCAGATTGAGAGGGATGTGCTAGGTGTGAGGTCAGAAAATGCTAATTTACATTCATCCCGTTCACTCCTTAAGAGGAGCATGTGTCCCCCCCACCCCCTATTATCAGTAAATAAGGAGTCCTAGTAGTGTAGTGGGTTCCACATTGAGCTGAAAACTGCAAGGTCAGCAGTTTGAATCCACAAGCTTCTCCGCAAGAGAGGGATGAGATTTTCTGCTCCTGTGAAGATTTACAGTCTCTGAAACCTTATACAGGATTGCTGTGAGTTGGAACCAACTCCACAGCACACCACCACCACCATCATTATACTAGTGAATAGCTCTGAAATTATCATTATTATTATTAAGCAAATGTACTATTTTCCTTTTACAAAATGCCTCTGGAGTGTCTCACTGACTCCACTGAAGCTGACACAAGGCTGTACCTTCTGACCAGGACACATGGACTCAGCGAGGTTGGATGATACTCCAGGGGTCACATCATGATTTACAGATAGACTGGGTAGTGAGAACCTCCTTTATGAAACAGCCAGTAGACGGGGTCTTAAACTGTAGGAGGTCAGCATAGTAGGCAGTCTAGTCCATTCTCCACACCACATCTTATGGGTGGAAAAGAAACATTTAGTGTTTTTTAAACAGAATGTGATCAGATAACGCTTTCCCAGCATAGGGGGACTTTGCAGGCCACTAGTTTACATTCCCTTAGCATTTAACTTGCTTAAAATTTAAATCTTTCCAATACTTTATATTCCTCAAAAACAAAAATAGCATTTCTAGGTCTTCCCCTTGGTGCTGTAGGGAAGCCCTGAAAGCTCACAACAGGAGAACCTGGGTACGCTGAACCATTCACGGTGGTCTGTCCAAATCTGGGGAGTTAGGGCAGAGGACCAGGGCCAATGTTTGCAATGGTCTGGCTCCACAAAGTCCCTAGTGGTCCATGTTCAAGAGCTGGAGCACTATGGGGCTGCAGGGTGCCTTGTACGCTCTACCGATATATGTTTTGTTCTTAAATAAAAGTACAAATCTTGCAAAAAGCAATGCTCTACACATTTCTAAAGAAATACATCAAATAAAGTCATGGAGCTCTAAGCCCTGAGTGGGAAGGAAGGAGTGGCCAGACCTTCCTGTCAGATGTCCAGAGGACACTTGAGTCCTTACCAAGGGTCCTTGGTGATCCAGGGCATCGCCAAAGTCACAGCGCCAGAGAGAAAACAGTTTCCTTCAGCACGATTCTTGTGATGTAAAACAGGACAAGCTCAATGCTTAAATATCTTTATTATTTTTTTTTTAAATTAGCTCTGCAAAATACTTCTCCCATCCCAAACCCTTTCCACATGTCCCCCATAAAGAAACAAAATAATCATAACTTGTGCCCATTCAAATCTAACTTTTAAACACGTGTAAGATTCCAAATCATATATTACTTTTTCTTCTCCAGAATGTTAGTAATTTTAAACCACAATACAACTTACTCAATGGCATTTCTTTTTTTTAAATTAGCTTATCAGACTATTGTATGAGAGAAAAAAAAAATCAACTCAAGACCATAAAGAAAACACAAATTCCTTCTTTCTAAAAGCAAAAGACAGTAGAGCACCCCAGTGCTCTCCTGGAGTTTGTGATTCCAATGGCACAAACAAACCCAGCACAGATGAACTTTCTGCTTAGCCCCAGGCACTATCGAGTCATTTCTGGTGCGCAGTGGGAACGGTCTATACTGTCTGGAGACTGGAGTGTGTTTGTGAGTGTGTGTGTGTGTGTGGGGGGGGGGGGGGGGGGGGGGGGGGGGAACAGGAATAACTCCAGTTCATCTGAGTGACCAGGATGGGGAATACAAAATGGAAGCATCTGAGTAGTGGAGAAAGAATAGCCAATTTCAGGGCCCACCTCCTGCTGGGTCTGTTTGGTGTGGAAGAGGAAGACAGTAGATAATCTACAGTCTGTACCAACTGCTTACTGATGGCTGCAAGTGCCAACCAAAACGTTGCATATGCTAACAGAGACACATAAACTATGAGAAGGTTCAGAAAAGAAGACAAATAACTATGAGTGGAACGAATTCCTCAAAGTTTCTTTGAGAACTGGCTGGAAGAAGGAAGCCTTCTGAGAGAAAGAGGGTCACTGTTATTCATCTACGAGTTACTGAGAGGAAGTGAGAAAAACTTAATCCCTTCCCTATCCTTGGCGGTCGGAATTTTAAGTGTACAGATCTTCATTATAGATGTGTCCAAAAGATCTATTAATAAAGATAAAATTTCTTCATTTTTCCCCAACACAACTCATTACATTGCTTTAAAAAAGAAAAAAAATCCTACAATAGAACCTTGTTATTCCCATTTTGCTAACTGAACATCAGCAATTCTTGCAAATGTTCCTGTCTGTCTACTCAACCTTCCACTTGAAGCCACACACACAGGCTGAGGGTAACCTCCCACCCAGGGCCCCAAGCAGGGCCTGTCTCTAGAGGAGGCATACAAAACACAGGAGATGGTGACTGGCAAGCCGTGAGCAGAGAGAAGAACTGACATGAAACGAAAACACCTGTGTAGAACCAACAAACCAGCACATCCTGGCTCCATCTTTATCTTTACCCATTTGCTGGGTTAATGCAGAAGCTAAGGATGTGGGGGTGGGGGTGGGGGGATGGCGGCGTCTGTTCATCTGGGTAAACCAGCTGGGTTTGACCATATCCAGTCTGCTGCTGCCTTTTAAATGTCAAAATCTGGAACACTGGAACACTTTTGTGACTCTGGGAATCGATGTGTTCTTTTCTCACATAAAACACTAGGGAACATTTTTAGGGTTCCAAGGCCCTGACCTTACTCTAAATGGAGCAATCACACTTCTGCACAAATTTTAGATATAAGTGCCCACTGACCACTACTGTCGTATATATACCTGGTTCAAGCCTTTCCGTAACATTCAACCTCAGTAATGTACAGTACATGTTATCATTAAAAGGAAAGCCACTTTACTTTAACAATAAAAACATTTTCTCAGTACTTATCTAACCAAAGGCTTTGTTTTCTTAGGCCAGTGGACAGACAACCTTCAAGTTCCTCTGCTTCTATGGGTTCTAATATTCTTTTGTCTTAAAGCTTTCCCTCTTATACTCTGAGGAAGTCTTGCAAGCCACCAGAAAAACCAACCCCTGCAAAACCCTGCCCATCATCTTTGTGGGCTACAACTGAGGCTGTTTACATATTTAAAAAAACAAAAAGCACACGTGTGCACACGCACACACACGCACGCACACACACACACACACACACACACGCACTTTGGCACATGAGCCTCGAGTTACTTGAGCGTGTTCATGTTCCACCCCTCCCCACACCCTGGCACTTTAATCACCATCTCCGGAGAACTCTGGCTCCTTCTGCCATATACAGAAGGCTGCCATGAAGCGCTGCTGTTTTGAGTAACAAAGGAGGAGGGTACGAATGCTAACCTGGCCCCCAAACAGCTCTTGTGTTTAGTACTAGAATTTATGCAATGCTGTAACACTTTTGTACCAGGATGACTAGTTTTAAAATTGCTGGCTGATTAAATATACACATACACATAGATATAGGTATAAAAATTACTAAGTCAACATTTGCTGTTTTCAATGTGAAAACGATAAAATGTAACTCTAAATAATTGTGCATTTGTCAAGGGTCCTTGTGTAAGGACCATAAAAATAATTTTGTAATAAAAAAACTCTTATTTTCATTAAGTTTAGTATTGCCCTCCAGTCAAAAGTTTGAAGCAAATGTACTGAGCAGGAAGGACTTGAATCTGCTCCCGCCAGTGACCCCCATGGTGGGCCCAGAACCCAACAGCTTTGCGCTGTTAACATCATGACTGGGCAGCTCTAACTTACTCCACCAACCAATCAGAACTGAGAGTGGTAAGGCCCAATGGGCCTGGCTTGCCAGCTCCTTGCACAGAGTTCTAAGGGCCTGGCAGGCGTGGGCTCTGCCTTCTTTAGACCAAGTGACTGGGGAGGGGAGGGCCCAGGCTGGTCAGCTGGCTCTGAGGTGGGGAGAGGAGTGGGAACCGCTGAGCACCAAGGCCAAGGGTGAGCCTGAGAGCTGATGCCCTCCTCAGTTTGAGCCTGGGATAGGGAAGGAATGGGCATTTCAGTGATGCAGAAGTCAGCTGAGCAAGAAGGAAAAGTGCATTTAAGGTAGCTTAAAAACAGATTCAGACCAAATTGCTACAGAGAGGAAGGCAGAGCAAGTGAGCCCTTCACCTGCTGGCACTGACCACGGGCTCACACTCGTGCTCTCTGGCGCAGTCTACTCTGAGGAGACAGGAACACATGTCCTCCTGGTTCTGGCAGGTACACATGTTCTTGGCAAGCTCTTTTTGCCAAGTTAAGTTTTATTTGGTGGCTGTTCTGAACCGTTGTCACCGGAATTCATAGATGGGTGCGCTGTGTTCAGGAACATGAGTCAGATTGAGGGACTGGTACCTGCAGTGGGGGAAAGACACAAATGGGCAATAGTCATTTAATGCATGCTGAAAACCAAGCTTGTTGGGAGAGACACCCTTTGAGCTCAAGGACCATAACACACTTGAAATGCAAAGTTACCATGCGCTTAAGTGGCACCTTGTTTAAATTGACTTCAAACTTTGTGATGAACTCTCTTGAACTATGTGTACGATAGGCTGTTTTGAGGGTTTGCTCTAATAAGCAATGTTGATGGTGTGCTTTCTGTAGCACGTGGTAGGTGTGTACAGAGCCAGGTAGCAAGGAGAAGCAAGGCCTACACACTCTGCACACTTGGGAAGATGAGAACTGATGGACTTTGCTTCACAAAGAAGGAGGACCGATATTTAAAAGATGAACACAGGTAAAACACAATTTATTATTATTATTATGAAAAAAAAAAAAGGATTATGCATTAGCCACCAGGGAAATGCAAATTCCAATCACAATGAGACAGCACTTCATACCCACTAGGATAGCTGGAATAAAAAGGTCAGATAATCAGAGTTGGTGAGGATGTTGTTAAGTGCCATTGAGTAGGTTCCAACTCAAGAGACCCTGTATAGGATTTCTGAGGAGTGACCTTCCAGCTAGCAGTCTGGTGCTTATCCTACATCATCACCCCAGAACTCCGGCAAGGATGTGGAAAACTGAAATCCTGCTATGTTGCTGATGTAAATGTAAACTGGTGCAGCCACAGTGGAAAACTGCTGGCGGCTCTTCAAATGGTTAGAGTTATCATTTGACCCAGCAATTCCATTCCTAGGTACATTTCCAAGAGAAATGAAAACTTACATTCACACAAAAGCATGCACATAAATGTCCACCACAACGTGATTCCTAATAGCCAAAAGGTGGCAACAACCCAAATGTCCATGGACAGATCAATAAATAAGCAATCTGTGGTACAGACACACAGAGGATTATTATTCAGATATGCAAAGGATACATGATGAACCCTGGAAACACTGCTGTGGGGGGTAAGCACTTGGACTGCTAACTGCAAAGTTGGTGGATCAAACACACTAGCAGCTCCTTGGCAACCCTATACAGGTTCATATGAGTTGGAAGCAACTCAACAGCACTTGACAAAAACAAACGGAAAAAGGCCGTCACAGAACCAGAAACCAAACCCACTGTCATGGAGTTGGTTCTGCCTCATAGTGATCTACAGGACAGAGGAGAACTGTACATGGAGGCAGAATGCCTCATCTTCCTTCCATGGAGTAGCTGGTGCAATGGAACAGCTGACCTTTCTGTTAGCAGCCCAACACTTAAGGATTAGGTATTGTTTGATTCCATTTATTGGAAATGTTCACAGTAGGCATATCGATAGAGACAGAAAATAGATTAGTGGTTCCCTAGGTTAGGACTGTGAATACCAGAACAGGGTTTACTTATGCTTTATTGACTATGCAAAGACTGTGAATACAGGATATTCCAGAACACTTACTTGTGCTCATGAAGAAGCTGTACACAGACCAACAGGCAGTTGTTTGAACAGAACAAGGGGACACCGAACGGCTTAAAATCAAGAAAGGTGTGCGCCAGGCAAATAATCCGAGAAACTTTATTATATGAAGAACGTGGCATCAGAACTGGAGGAACTTATTAACAACCTGCAACATGCAGACGACACAACCTTGCTTGCTGAAAGCAAAGAGGACTTGAACATACTTGTTGATGAAGATCAAAAACAGCCTTGAGTATGGATTCCACCTCAATGTTAAGAAAATCTTCACAACTGAACCAATAAATAACATCGTGATAAACGGAGAAAAAAACTGAAGCTGTCAAAGACTTCATTTTGCTTGGACCCACAATCAATGCTCATGGAAACAGCAGTCAAGAAATCAAACGACATACTACATTACACAAATCAGCTGCAAAAGACCTCTTTATGTGTTCAAGAGCAAATATGTCACTTTGAGGACTAAGATGAGCCTGACCCAAGCCATGGTATTTTCGATTGCTTCATATCATGTGGCTTCATACGATAAGCACTGGAATGCGAATCACAAGGTTGGTGGTTCGAACCGACCAGCCACTCTGTGAAAAAAAAAAATGAAGCTTTTTGCTCCTACAAAGCCCCAGAAACCCTATACAGGGTTGCTCTAAGTCAGAACGGACTCAACAGCGCTTAACAATAACAACATATGCATGTGCAAGTTGGACAATGAAAAAGCAAGACCGCAGGGATATTGATGCATTTGAATTATGGTGCTGGCAAAGAATATTGAAAGTACCATGGACCACCAGAAGAACAAGTAAATTTGTCTTGGAAAAAGTACATCCAGAATGCTTTGGGATGTTTTCAGGAGGGACTGGACAGTCCCTAGAGAAGGACATCATGCTTAGTAAAGTGAAGGGTCAGTGAAAAAGAGGAAGACCCCCAACAAGAGAAGATGATGCAGCGGCAGCAATACTGACCTCAAAACTAACAACTGTGAGGATGGTGCAGGCGGTAGTGGATTCTGTTATGCACCGGGCCACTCGGAGTGGGAACCGATTCAACAGCACCTGACAACAAGAGCTTAGCACTGTGGGGGAAGGAGCTGCTGGAAATGCGGAATGAGTGCTAACATTTCTGGAATGATGAAACTATTCTAAGACTGATGGTGGTGATGGCTGCACTAGTCCATGAGTATACTAAGTGGCACTGAATTGTATTCTCCAAATAATTGATAATGTTATTTTAAAAAACAGAAGTATAAAAAGTTTTAAAAGTGAATTTGAAAACATAACAAGTACCAAAATTGTTATATTACTAGTGTCAACAGGGTAGTCATTTACTTGCAGATATGATTTGCTGCCACTGAAGAAGGAACTTGAATAATTTCAGGGCAGGACCACCATGGAGTCCTGGTGTGGTGCTGTGGGTTCATGCACCAGACTGCAAAGTCGTTTGAACTGCAAGGTTGGCGGTTCAAGCTCACCAGCTGCTCCTTGGAAACCCTATACAGGGTCGCTATGGGTCAGAATCGACTCGATGGCACTTAACAACAACAACAACAAGGACCACCAAAGTGTGAAAGATATGCAAGGGCTACACTCAGAGCAGGACTCAGGCATGGTTCACACTCCAGGCACAGCAGCAAGGAGACAGGAGAGTCTCACGGAGACCAAAGCTACCACCTTGTAGACCCTCACCTAGGATACAGTGGGGCAGGGCTGCTGGCTTCCATAGATTCTGAGGTCCTTCGACTGAGAACCTATGGGAGCCAGCAGCAAGTCAATGTGTGATCCAATGTACGAGGACCAAGACCACAAGAATGAAAAAGAATGTGAACAGCAAAATCCACAACGTTCACCATCAGATCTTAAAAGGTCTAGAAAGTGAGCAATAACACCCAAGAGGAACATCCTCCTCAGAACAATCAAGTGCATGAGACCAAAAGGGCAACATTTCCCTAAAGCGCAAGAAAACTGGGCAAATGGACATGGGGAACCCAAGGTGGAGCTTGGGAGAATGCTGATACATTATGGGAATTGTACCAGTTAAAACAATCTGTATTGACTGCTGAATGTAAAACTAGTGGGCTTGTCAACTCCCACCTAACCATAACAAAGTATTAACAAAAATGATCACAGCCCTGCCAAAATGCAGCGCTGCTTATAAGTATTTCATAACGAGTTAGGTTACGAGTCCTCAGGTGGTGCAAATGGCTAAGCGCTAGATGATCAATTGAAAGGTGGCAGTTTGCATCCAGCCAGAGGCCTCCTGGAAGAAAGACCTGGTGGTCCATTTTAGAAAGGTCACAGCTACGAACCCTGTGAAGCAGCTCTACTCTGTACACTCGGGTTCTCCCTGACTCCATGATAACTGCTCCCACCCCACTCCCCAGCCTCCCATCCAGACCCTCATTCTCTTCTTGTTTTCTCTGCTTTGTGGGCTTTGGAGCAATTGAGAACATTTGAATCAGCCTTAGCGTCTAAATAAAGACGCTAAATAAAGCAGATGACTGTGCAGAGGAGATTTCTTTTGGGTTTGGTGAGCTGGGGGAGAGCCAGCAAGTAGCCTGACAGCCCACCTCTGCCGCTGGGGCCTTACCATTCTGAGCTCCTATGGTAGTAGTAGCCCTCAATGGAGGCTGCCGACTTCTGGAAGCAGATGTAGTAGAACCCGGCAAAGGAAGCACCGCTGATATCTTTGATCGTGTGATCTGGGACCAAGAACTGCTCCTGAACACAGGTGGAGAGGGCGATTAGCAAGCAGGTTTTCTCCAACAACTTGGGAGACAAATACCACCCGTGGTCCGATCCAGACTTATTAGGTGATAGAGAGCCTATGAGAGTCCATCTGATTCTGAATGTGCTGCTAGTGCACTCTTCACACAGAGGCAGCTCTGTCTTGAGCTCACTATGATCTGCAACTAAGAGAGGCACTGCAGCCTAAACATCCAATTATTAAACCAACACTTTTCAGAGACCACAGGCAGAACGATATGGGAAAGCAAGTTTATGTTGTAGCCTGTGAACTCACATTCCCCTTCCCGGATGGTCTCCAAAGCAATGAGTCACTTCTGTTGGTCTGTGGATTGTTCTGAGGGTAAATCCAACACCAGTGGCCCCCATGCCCTCAAAAACCTCTCATGTACCCACAGTACTGCTCTTGATCAGACTCCTTCTGAGAGTTAAGTTCATTGGGCAAGAGCTGCACAGCTGTGCTCCAGAACCCAGTCCTCCAGAGAGAACAAGTCACGTCTCAGGGCTTCAAGAGGCCTACTACTAAAAGGCCACAGCCACAGGTAGGTCAACTTGAGAAATTCTTTGGAGATAAAAAAACTCCACTGTATTTTGATTTCAAAATTAAATCCTTCCCCTTCCTCAATCTTGGAAATTACAGTTTTAAAACTTAAAGTGAAGTAAAATTACCTTTAGAACTTTACAAAAGATTTTCCTTTAACTGGTTAGTTGTCATAATATTTCCCATTAGGTGGTGAGCTCAAATTTTTACTGAGAGAACACAGACCCCACCCTACCTCAAATTATTAGACATGCAAAGTAAAGACTAGAAACCACCAGCCTAAATAAACGGACTGTAAAAAGCTGGCAATAAAACTATCTTTTCCCCCAGATTGGGGACTAGGGCTTATGTACACTCACAAAGGTATTTAATGGCTTCGTGATTTTGCCATACAAACAAGTACCATGTCACAAAGCAGGGAACACAAAGGAGTTCTCAGCCAAAAGCTAGTTCATTGAGTGTAGTCAGATGGAGTTCTTTCAGGGTTGGTCAATGGAAAACCCAAATTCCATTCCAGGTCCATCATTTCCTGACTGGAGGGCACTAGCAAAGAGGCCACAAGAGGCCACAAGGACAGATGTGGCGGAGGAGAGCAGCTGTGGAAAGAGCACTGTTCCCTGCTACTGAGAGTCACATGCAATGATAACTGTGGTCAAAAGCAGCCTGGCCCTCACTGCCCTACTCCAGGGAATGTTAGGAAAGATACACCTGAAGGTTCAAAGGGATTCCTGGGCGCAACCCCTGGGGGCAAGAACCGCCTGCTGGTCACTTAACATAGTTCAGTCAGGGTGACAGAGCACGCACTGAGGCCACGTCTACCTTACACAAGGGTGTAGAGACACTGCCACAATCCGCCGGAAGCAGCACTGTGGTATGGAGCTGAGCTGGGAAGCACCCTTTGCAGAGCAGCTGCAGTATCAATCACAGGTGGGTCTTACCTTCCACCTCATGAAGACATAATCCCCATTCTTCAACTCTTCATAATCAAAGTCATCAGAATTAAATGATTTTGCATACTGATAAAAGGCCAGAAACTTGCCCTGAAAGTAAAAAGGAGTATAATGGGTCAAAAGAGGAAGAAGCTGGTTCCTGCCCATGCTAACATTCTCAGGTGTGATCAATGTTTCAAATGTAGCTCAGCCTGCAGGTCAGCTGATGGGAGACAGCCTTTTATCCATCCACCCACCACCCACCTTTCCAAGATGTGGCAGGGGAGATGGCCAAAAAGTGGAGATACGTGTCAGGAACCTCAGGGACCAGGTAATCCCAAGGACTTTCTGTGGACACTTTACCAAAAGCAAATGAATCCAAGAACAACAAACTAGGGGACCTCTGGAAGTGAGTCACCAGTAGCAAAGAGCCTCAATGGTCAGCCACTGAGGGGAAAACCAAACTCACTGCCAGCAAGTTGATTCCAGCTCTTAACAACTCTATGTAGGGTTTCCTAGGCTGTAAATATTGATGGGAGCAGAAAATGTCATCTTTCTCTCAGAGACAGCTGCTGGGTTTGCACTGTTAACCTTGTGATTATCCTATATCACCACAAGGATTCTTAACAGAGGGGAAAGGGGCTAGCAAATGTTGGGGCTTGGACATGATGTCATGGTTTGGGGCCAGTTCATTAAGTAGAATCAGGAAGTAATATTTGTTGTTGTGATGTGCCGTGGAGCCGGTTCCAACTCATAGCGACTCTGTACAGGGTTTCCAAGGCTGTAAATTTTTACAAGAGCAGAAAGCCTCATCTTTCTCCCACGGAACAGCTGGTGGTTCCGAACTGCTGACCCTGAGGTTCGCAGGCCGATTCTTAACCACTACGCTACCAGAACTCCTTAAGTAATCTACGGCTCAGTTTAAAACAGGACACTAAAACCAAACTAGGCATTAAGTTTGCAATTATGTAAAATTAAATTGTGCATGCCAGGACTAGAAGGAAGTGGTGAAATTAGGGATTATTGATTTTTTGAAAAATTTCCTCTAATGCTTTTTATTTTTTTTAAATTAAATGTTTTTATTTTGGATTGAGGGAAAGTTTACAGGGCACATCATCAGCTTCACATTCAACCATTCATATAGCTTGTTTCATTACATTGATTATTATCCCCTCCATATATCATCAGTTAACAGTGTTTCTCTCTTTTTTTGGATGGGGGGGACTTGGCTTTTTGGAATTTACATTCTCGGGTTTTAGGGAAGGTTTTTACATTTGTCTGTGGATATCCAGGGCTCATGTATGAGATTACTAACAAGCATTACTGAATAATCAGATGAGGGACAGTTTGCTATGTCTACTAGGTAGCTAATGTCTGATCCTCAGAGCCTATGGTTTGGACGGTCTTGACCTCCTGACTGGGTCTGCACTGTCTGCATCTGAATCCTCCTTATTTATTGTTAGTTTAAGGGACGCTGCCTGTCTTAGGTGGTGAGTGCGAATTCCTCAGTCTTACCAGTCATTGAAACTCATTGCAGCATGGCAATGGCTCTGTCTTAAGTTGCTGAGGTTCCACGTGATCCTTACCCGTCTCTGGCCACACGTCCAGCATAAACAGCTGCCATCCGAGGCAGGCAGGGAGGGAGGAGATCGGCTGGGGACCCCATACGCACGACGTTGCCAGCCCACCACCTGCTCTAAGGTGACCAAGCAGGATCACTATGCTGAGGTTCAATCAAGTTCTTAGGGGATCTTACTCTCTAGCAGGGGTAGCAAATTAGTAGCCACTCAGTGCTCACTTTGAGAATTACTTATATCATAAATTTGAGCATATAGCTGATGAATATCCACAGACAAGTGTATATTGTTCCACAACCTCCTAAAATGCTGTTGGATTAAGTTCCAATCAAGTTCTGGATTACTGAAAGATAACACAGATCTACTTATCCCATGAATAACCTTAGCTGGGAGTGTAATCTGGATATATTGGGTCTTAATGCTGTTTTATTGTTGTGTTTTTGTTAGCAAAGTTTTTTTTAAAAAAATGATAATTAACATCTGAATGCAATTTAAATGACAATGTTGTTGTCAAGTTGGTTCCAACTCATAGTGACCCCGTATAGGGTTTCCAAGGAGCAGCTGGTGGGTTTGAACTGCCAACTTTTCAGTTACCAGTCCAACACTTATCCTACAGTGCCACACCACTAAATAGGATGTTGTTGTTAAGGACTGTTGAGTTGGTTCTGACTCATAGTGACCCTGTATAGAGTTTCCAAGGAGCAGTTGATGGGTCTGAACCTCTAACCTTGCAGTACAAATTGACCTTGAGGTCAAGTGCTTATCCTATGGTGCCACACCAGGACTCCACTAAATGGGATATTGTATTTAAAATGCTGATAATACAGTCATTAAGTGAAATAGGCCATAAAACTGTATCTGAGGATTTAGTTTTTTATTTTTAAAAAAGTATATACACATAAAAGAAACTCAGAAAAACGTTAACAGCTGTTTTACCTTTAGGTATTATCATTATAGACCACTTTTGCTTTTCGTACTCCCCAAAATTAAAAATAAGTATATTATTTTTTAATGTTTTTTATGAAAACATTAAAAAAAATTTTATATATGGAGGTATCTGTTGCTGCTGTTAAGCGCCGTTGAAGTTGGTTCCGACTTACAGCAACCCTGTATAGGGTTTCCTAAGAGCAGCTGGTGAGTTTGAACCATCAATGTTGTGGTTTGTAGTCCAGTGCTGATCCTACAGTGCCACACCAGGAGATACTAGTCATAAATACTTTAATTCTTAGTAAATTAACTATATGGAATTTTAACTCAAGAAATTTGAGGATGCAATACAATATATCTGATTACAGTTTACAATGGAAAAAATACCATAGGTAAAGTTTATGAGACATTGTAAACCTTAGACAAACTGAAGTCCCCCCAGTAGGAATCTGGGAATCCTTAGAAGTGAGTGGGGCATTTTGAGTCCCGCAACGGAGGACAGAACTGCTCCCTGACATGATCACACTGTCACTCTGTCTCCCAGATGAATCCACTTCCTTCTAGTTTGACTCTGTCCTATACAGGGTCTCTCTGAGTAGGAACTGACTCAATGGCAGTGGGTGGGTGCTAGCACCTGCCCAAGGCAGTTCTCACGCAATCCTTAAATGACTCAGAGTGGGTCAAAGACTTACTCACCCAGTGTTTTCGATCAACGTCTTCATCTGCATCCCACTTTCGAGTTAAGAAAGGATGTTTCCTGCTGATTATTTCTCCTTCAAAGAAGGTTGTAAGTGTTGGATACTCCTATGTAAAAGGTCAAACATCAAAACAAGATGTTTTAGCAAGAGCTTTAACTTCTGTTACTCTGACAAAAACGACCACATTACTAACCAACAATGCAAACCAGGGTTAAACTGGGTGATGTGCCAATAAGCTCTGAAAATGGATTTGAACTTGCCATAGACTGGAAGTTCTCTTGGGCTTTGGCGATTTTGCCTGAAACAGAGAACCATCCTATGACTTTTACACTTGTTATATTTTGGTCTCTAAGAAAAGAATTTTGACTATTTGCACCAAAAGTGAATTCTGAATATTCTAATTCTGGTGACAGTGGATTTCACTTTCCAAGATAAAAATTACAAAGAGGCTCCAAAGTCCCAATACTAGCAGCTGAGTCTTTCTCAAACCACGATCTGGCCCACTGGTTCTCACACTAGTTCAGTAGTTTATCCTTTTCAAGTCAATTATTCAAGTTTCCACTGGGAACAAGATTTTTTGGTGGACCATTTTGAAATACAGATTTTATATTTAATCCCATCATATAAACTAAGAACAATTTATACTAGAGAAAATAGGTATTACTCATGTCTGCAATGTAAAACCACAACCATAGGAAGTACACTATCAAACAATAAAGAAAGGGAGACAAAATATTTGGGAACAAATACATCTGATAAGGGTTTGCTGCTGTTGTTTTTAAGTGCCACTGAGTAAATTCTGACTCATAGGGACCCCTGTATATGGTTTCCAAGGAGCAGCTGGTGAGTTTGAACTGCTGACCCTGTGATTAGCAGTCCAGTGCTTATCCTAACAGAGACACACCAAGGCTCCTTAAGGGTTTGTTGTTGTTAAGTACTGTAGAGTCAGCTCCAAATCATAGTGACCCTGTCTGTACAGGGTTTCCGAGGCTGTAAATCTTTACAGGAGCAGAAAGCCTCATCTTTCTCCTGCGGAACAGCTAGTAGTTTCGAACTGCCAACCTTGAGGTTAGCAGCCTGATTTGTAACCACTATGCTACCAGAGCTCCCTCATAAGGGTTTATTACCCAGAATATATAAAGAACACCTACAACTTAACAAAACGACAAACAATCCAATTTAAAAATTGGCATAAGACTTGAATAGACATTGGTGGTTATGTGCCATGGAGTCAGTTGTGACTCACAATGACCCTGTACAGGGTTTCTGAGGCTGTGTATCTTTATGAGAACAGAAAGCCTCATCTTTGTTCCCTGGAATGGCTGGTAGTTTCGAACGCTGATCTTGAGGTTAGCAGCCTGACTTGGAATCACTATGCTACCAGAACTCCTTTGAGTAGATAGATATTACTCTAAAGAAAACACACAAATGGTCATTAAACACATGGAAGTTGCTCAACTTTGTTAGCTATTGTTGTCAAGTGCCGTCAAGTCAATTCTGACTCATAGCAACCCTGTGTAGGGTTTCTGAGGAGTGGTTGGTGGGTTTGAACTGCCAACCTTGCAGTTGTTAGTGCTTATCCTACAGTGTCACACCAGGACTCCTTGTTAGTTACTGTTGTTGATGATGTTAAGTGCCATCAAGTCAGTTCTGTATCCTAGTGACCCTGTATACGATTGCCAAGGCTTTTAAATCTTCGCAGAAGCAGAAAGCCTCATCTTTTTTTCTGAAGAGTGTCTGGCAGGCTTGAACCGCAAACTCTGTGGTTTGCAGCCCAGTGCTTATCAGGAAGATACAAACCAAAACCACAATGAGATACTCCTTTTAATCCATGATGACGTCAATCATCAGAAAAACAAGACCAAGCACAAATGCTGGTGAAGACGTGAAAGAATGAGAACCCTCATGCACGCCTGGTGGAAATATAAAATGGGTTCAACAGTCCGCTTGGCGATTCCTCAAAAAGCTACACACAGACTATTCCCTGGAGGCAGAGCATGACGGTGAACTACTCAGAAAGGATCTGGAAAACCAGACAAGAGAGATGCACAGGACAACCCTGGAACTCTGAGCTTCAGATGAAGGGACAGAAAGGTGCATTCAGTACTTACTGGGAAAAAAAGTTGATCAGTTGAGGCAAGAAAAGAAGTGACTGTTGAAGTGCAGAGGCCAAAGGGACCCGCTGCAGCAACCTTGAGCATCTGAGCAGCTTCAGAGACAAGAAAACATGCCTGTGGTTCAGGCTCACAGAGACAAAGCCTGCAGGGCTGAGGGGTTACTGCAATAACCCCACACATCGCGCTCTGCTCCAAATCTGCAAAATTGACACCTGCCAGCCCTGGACTAGCTTTCACTGGGAGAAGAGGCTGAATAGATGTGTGGGGTACAGCAGAAGGAATGATTATCTGTGCCGGCGCGGCTGTGATGGCAACAGGCCAGGAGATGGAGAAGAGGCTTACCACTTATTGGTGGAAAGAACATAGTACCCAGTTTTAAATTTTTTGTTCTTTTTCTTTCTGCATTATTATATTTTTTTCTTTGTTGTTTACTTGTTTTTCGTCTTTTGTGAGTGTGCTTTCTCTTCTTGTTTCACCTAACAGGAGACAATAACTGCAGTCATACAGTCCAACCACAGCCATACCCTCTATTGTTGGTAGGTACCATCGAGTCGGTACTGACTCCTAGTGACCCTATGCACAAACAGAATGAAACACTGCCTGGTCCTGGGATAACCTCACAATTGTTGCCACACTTGAGGCCACTGATGCTGCCACTTTGCCAATCCATCTCGCTGGGGGTTTTCCTCTGACCCTTCACCTTACCAAACATGGTATCTCTCTCCAGTGACTAGTCCCTCCTGACAATATGTCCTTAGTATGAGAGACGAAGTCTGGCCATCCTGATCTCCAAGGAGCACTCTGGCTGCACTTCTTCCAACACAGATCTGTTGGTTCTTTGGCTTTATTGATAACGCAGTTCTTTGGCTTTACTGACTATGGTACTTTCAGTATTCTCCTCCAACACCATAACTCAAATGCATCAATTCTTCTATGGTCTTCCTTATTCACTGTCCAGCTTTCACATGCATATGAGGTTACTGACTATGGTACTTTCAGTATTCTCCTCCAACACCATAACTCAAATGCATCAATTCTTCTATGGTCTTCCTTATTCACTGTCCAGCTTTGACATGCATATGAGGTTACTGAAAATACTATAGCTTGGGTCAGGCGCACCTTAGCCCTCAAGCTGACATCTATGCTCTTCAACACTTTAAAAAGGTCTTGTGCAGCAGATTTGCCTAATGTAATACATCGTTTGATTTCTTGACTGCTGCTTCTGTGAGTGTTGATAGTTGATCCAAGAAGAATGAAGTCTTTGACAACTTCAATCTTTTCTCCTCTGATAAGAATGTTGTTTATTGGTCCAGGAGTGTTTGGTGGGTTTGAACTGCTATCCTTGCAGTTAGCAGGATTTTTGTTTTCTTTACATTGAGATGTAATCCATACTGAAGGCTGTGGTCTTTGATCTTCCTCAGTAAATATTGTATGTCCTCTTCACTTTCAGAAAGCAAGGTTGTATCATCTGCATATCGCAGGTTGTTAATGAGTTTTCCTCCAATCCTGATGCCCCGTTTTTCTTCATATAACCCAGCTTCTTGGATGATTTGCTCAGCATACAGGTTGAATATGTATGGTTAAAGAATACAACCCTGTCGCACACCTTTCTTAACTTTAAAACAGTATTCCCAAGTTCTAGTCAAACAACTGCATCTTGGTCCATGTACAGACTCCTTATGAGCACAATGAAGTGTTCTGGAATACTTATACTTCACAATGTTGTCCATAGCTTGTCATGATCCACACAATCAAAGGCCTCTGCGCAGTCAATAAAGCACAGACACAGATAAACATCTTTCTGGTATTTTCTGCTTTCAGCCAGATCCAGCTGACGCCAGCAATGATATCCCTTGTTCCACATCCTCTTTTGAATCCGGCTTGAACCTCTGGAAGTTCTCTATCAATGAATGGCTGCAGCTATTTCTGTATTATATTTAGTAAAACTTTATTCACATGGGATATCAAAGATATTGTCTGATGATTTCCGTATTCCGCTGGGTCAGTCACCCTTCTCTTTGGAATGGGCACAAATACAGATCTCTTCCAATCAGTTGGCCCGACAGTTGTCTTCCAAATTTCTTGGCATAGATGAGTGAGTGCCTCCGGTGCCATCTCACTTTCTTGAAAGATTTCAGTTTGTATTCCATAAATTCCCGATGCCTTGTTCTTTGCCAACTCCTTCAATGCACCTTGGACTTCTTCCTTCAGTATCATGGGCTGTTGATCATATGCTACCTCTTGAAATGGTTGAACATTGACATTTCCTTTTGGTATTCCTTCCATCTTCTTTTGATGCTTTCTGCATCATTCAATAATTTGCCCAGAGAATCCTTCAATAATGAAAGTCGAGGCTTGAAGTTTTTCTTCAGTTCCCTCAGCCTGAGAAACCCTGAGTGTGTTCTTTCCTTTTGGTTTTCTAACTCCAGATCTCTGCACATTTCGTTGTAATACTTGACTTTGTCTTCTGGAGCTGACCTTTGACATTTTCTGTTCAGCTCTTGTATCTCCTCATTTTTTCCATTTGCTTTAGTATCTCTACGCCAGAGAGCAAGTTTCTGAGTCTCTTCTGACATCTATTTTGTTCTTTTCCTTCCTTCTTGTCTTCTTAATGACTTTTGCTTTCTTCATATATGATGTTCTTGAGGTCATCCCACAACTCCTCTGGTCTTCGGTCTTTAGTGTCTAATGTATCAAATCTGTTCTTCATATGATTTCTAAATTCAGGTG